GACAGGTATTTGGTAGCCTGTTCTCAATATAAAAAAATAATTGTAAGCGTAAACAAAATATGACGTACAAGGTCGAACATGAGGCAGTTAAAGACTTCAGAGCCGACAATAACCTCGTTGAGGAGGAGACGACTCGATCGCTGGGAAAATAATTTTATTCGCCTGACGTTTCGAGATCCGTCGCGGATTCGTCATCAAAAACATAGTCAAAGAGCAGTAGCAGAAACGCTATCGTACCGGCGGACAAGGGACGGTCCACTTGGACAGACTACATTCACAAAGCTCAAACTTTGTTAGACGATCGTCAGTCCTAAGTCCATGAAAATCCAACCCCATAAAAATGCTAATACGCAAGATCAACTCAACGCTGTTGGCAATGGAGATCTTAGGTGCAATATCGCCAATCGACCGACACATGGCGAGAGCGCAAGAAACGGCCCTGACCCGTTTCTCTGGTCTCCCAAGGTGCATAAAGAAGGCGCATCCCTGCGACCAATCGTATGTTTCAAAGGAACTCCAACCTACGGACTGGCAAAGTGGCTGTTTAGACGGCTCAAATTTTCTACCGCTGATTCAGACACAACAGTCAGGTCGCCAACACAATTCTTGGAGAAACTTAAAGGGGTAAGTCTCCTGCCAAGTGATGTCATGATATCCTTTGATGTCACTTCCTTTTTACTTCTATTTCACAGGGCCTGGCAGTCGAAACTATCAAATTAATCCTACGAGACAAATAAGATGAAACATATAATCGTCTCCGGCACGCCCAAATTTCCCAGCTCCTAAAGTTCTCTCTCAATACGTACCTTATCCCCGACAGAACCATCTATGAGCAGGTGAAGGGCACGCCCATGGGTTCGCCAATTTCCGAACTCATAGCCGATGCCGTATTTCAATGGTTGGAGTCGCTGGTTTTCCGATACCACAGATCGAAATTCTGGGCTCGGTATGTAGACAACAGCTTCGTCGTAATTTAGCGGAGTCAGGTGCTGAAAATCAAAGAAACGTCCAAACGCCGCTTTCCCGGACATTCAATTTACAATGGAGGAAGAAAAAAACAACCAGCTAGCCTTTCTGGATGTCCTTGTTTGTCGCAAAGACGGCGGTGGCTTAAGAACTAGTGTTTAGGAAAGAAACCAACACCATGCATGACCTGAACTATAACAGCAACCACCCAAACGCAGCTGCGTCGGAGCGCTATACCGGCGCGTTGTGACGCATTGCAGCGAAGTGGAAGAAAGGTCGCTGAATTACATCTCCGATGGGTACTAAGAGCTAATGGTTACCAGCGCAATTTTGTCAACCGGTGCATACGCAGACGAGAGAAACCATATCCAACTGGCCCAAAAGTTTGATGAACACTTTCCTACGTGAAAAATGTATTGGAAGCAGTCAGCCGCCTGCTCAACCCACCTAAAGTTGCGCACAGGCCAGAAGCAACTATCAAATGCCGGGTCATGAGACCGAAAGACGCACTGCCACAGCAAGAAATGGCTGGAGCCTTTTCCTGAATCTGGTGCAGTTGTGGACAAAGCGACTACGTCGGAGATTCCGGGAGATTACTCCGGACGCGAATGGTCGAGCACGCAGTGGCGGTGAGAAGGACGCTAAGTCCCAAGTTGCAGCTAATTCGACGGGACCCAGTCAGGTTTTCAAGTTTAACGAGGCCGAAATCCTCGCAAGAGGTGACAACCACATGAGCCGCGACCTGCTCGAGTGATGGTCTTCAGGCCCACGGCTCATCAAGCGCAACGATTTTGCGTTCCCATACTGCGTACTGAGACATTGCCTGAGCAAAAGAATCAGTCACATGGGAAGGATCGGGCCCAGCAACAACTCTCTTGACAGCGAACATAATTGTCCCGCAATTATCAAGCCCGCATCCGACACGGACAACGCAATCGCAGCAATTAATAAGTCGAAAGCAAAGTGTCAAGCTATCACTGCACAGATTACGAGACCAAACAGTGGTTACAGCGGCTAATATTTGTAGTATGCATGCGGATGACCGCTACGAACTATAAATACCGTGCAATCTATACATGCATCACCACAATTTATGCATGTCTCACACTATGCTACCTGTGATTAAGGATTCTCGACAGAATCCGAAACGTTAGGAAAATAAAATTCTTGTCCCAATGATCGCTTCTGCTTCTTCTGATGTGCATATTTTAAGATTTCAAAGTACTTATGAAATTCTATCCCACTAAAGTTCTAAAGCTGCATCCATAAAAGAAAAGCAGCTAGACTCACATTTCCGAAGACTAAGGAATAACGTGAGAACGTAGGCATTCGTGCCCAAATTTTTGACTCAAAATGGCGTATGCATTGTGACGTAGACGTCCAGACGACGAAAATAACTCAGTAAATCATAATTTCAATCGTATTACCGATAAAAAAAACTAAGCTTCAATTTGAAATGATTTGTGCATCCTACACGGCTGACTTTCAGCTGAAGATACACAATTTTGTTGATGTAAACGACACAGTAACTTCCTGCACTTCCTCTCTTACGGACAATAAATAATTTTTCCTGTATAAAAATGAAAAAAATATCGTAGCTTTGACAGTTTGTAGAAAAATACTACACGGGACTTAAATCTCCGGAAAATGCGTGTCCTTAAGAAGTACTAATATTTCCGTAGATATCGCGTTGCGACCAATATTCGCTACGCTGCTATGGTGTCCTAAGTAAAAGGACTCGTACTTGACAGAAGAACTTAAATAAATCTCTTGATGTCATCGAAGGGAGACATCAGAAAGTAATCATATATGAGAGCTGGCATACTATAAAATAAGACTAAGGGATCTAAGAAGACATTCGTTTATAATTAGTTGAACGAATTTTCAACAACTCATCGACTACCGCGAACTAAACCTAAAGAAGAAATAACTTTTTTTATAACGACGAGAGAACCAAAACACTTTTGAGAAAAACAGTCGACTTCGAATGAATGGAAAGTATTCACAGATCCTAGGAGAAAAATTGCCGCAAGTTGTCGGGAAAATTTTGCAGCAACTGGGCAATGTACATAAAATAATGAATTAGTTCTAGTTTGTACTTTGTTATAATCCATATTGCGACCGAATCTTTAAAAAAATATTTCGGCTAAATAAAATTCAAAAAGCACAATGAAGGTTTTGTGCATCCTAGGAAATGCAACACTTCTATGAGAAACTGTCCAAAGTGACCCAAATCGAGGGGAGGGAAACCAATGGTTTACGACACGTAATAGAAAAAATAACTGTCGTGCTTCAAAGGAACGATCTAGTAAATTACTGCAAAATCTTATGGATACATTCCATAGAATAGAGGACGAAGGGCGAGGAGTCGGGTTAAGCATAACAGTTACTGGTGATGGAGATTGCAGAAAAAACCAGGAAACTACAGAGTGGTTCTCCGAAATTCGATAAAAATTTAACGAGTATGGATTTTCTTAAAATCATCGTCCGTCTTTAGTAGGGAGGGGGGTTCTTATGCACGGACTATAGAAATGGTTACTTTTCAGATGGAGTAGTTCAAGAAAAACCAAAACGGCATGAGTGGCTAAACCAGCAGATTGGAAAACGAAAATGATAACCCAAAGAGTACGCTGTGAAGGCAACAGTAAAACAGATATTCAATATGAGCAAGATGTCAAAGTAAACAAGTGTTGCAATCATGCAGTACTTTACTATCTGACAGAAATAACGCAAACGAATGTGACTTGCAGAATATTAATGACGAGGAAGATTCTCCATCGAGAAGAAACACTAGTAAGACCGAACTCTTGCATAGGTTCTATAAAATATGAACGTGTGCTAGAATCCTACAATATAGTACCTTCTAAACTTGGCCACCCTGCTAGCACAATCCCCGGATTTCCCCGTGCTCTTGACGGGGTAATTCGAGGGAATACGGGCGAATCCGGGGATGAAAATTTTGATTAATAAGTTATATCTACAGAGCCCATTTTTCAATATCAACTTTTTTATCAATAAATTATTAATCACATTATCCTCTAATAAAAAATAAACTTGGGGTCTACAAAATGAGAACAAGGGGGCATCTCGCGGAGAAAACATTTTTTCAGGTGGCAGGGGTACGGGTTGACATCCCCGTCCTGAGCCCCGTCCAAACCGGCGGGGCTGGACGGGGAAATCCCCGGATTGAACGGGGAATGAGGGCGGGGCTCAGGGCGGGGATTTCAACCCGTTCCCCTCCCCCCCGCCGCCCCCGTTTTCTCACTTTTTAGACCCCAAATTGATTGTTTTGTTAGCGGAAAACGTCATTCATAATTTGTTGATAAAAAGTAGATCTAGAAAAATGGGCTCCGTTAATGTAATTCGTTAATCAAAATTTTTTAATCCCCGCATTCCCCCGTATTCCACCGTATTTCCCCGTATTCCCCCCGATTCCCCCGTTTGGCAATCCCCGTCCAGTCCGGGAATTGTGCTAGCAGGGCAGAAATCGCCAATGTACACGTAATAAATTAATAATCATTTGCATTCATAAGTTTTAGAAGGAAAACGACTATGACTAGGATAACTATAACGTCCTAAAGAAGAGGATAGCTTTAGAAGTCTAGCACAAATCGGTGTCCAAGGACAACTCGTTGAAGGTTCCTACAGGCAGCATTCCATAATGGAAATAAAACACCGCAAACAAAATGTCATCCTACAAAGCAACTCTAGCCAGCTTATGAGAGGAACTAAACAAAATGCAGTAATACTAAAGCAAAACAGCACAAAAGAGAAGAGACGCCCAAACTTACAAAAAGTGGGATGAGGATTTCGTCGGACAGGATAGGGATGCCCTGAGTAGCAGCGTAGTTCGTATTCCGAAAAGAATCGATCAATAGTTCAACTCGATCCCCAACAAAAAATTTCACCTTCGCAACGACAGATACTTCTACGATTTCTAACGCGCTCTCAGAAAGAATATCTCTAGCCAATGACAAAACTTTTCGAGTCACCGTAAACCGAATGTCGCTACAAAAATGATAAATTGCTAACTCAAAATTACCTAGATTCAATGAAATCCACAGACACTGAATCTCCGTTTCTTTGAGCGTGACCATTCTGGTACATGCTTACATAATTTCAAAAGATGTCAAACTCGCTATCAATTCACAAAATAGGGTGCAAACAGCTTTAAGGCGTAAAGCGCGGACATTCTCAGAGTCTATTGGTTGCGAGCGCGTCTTATTTCCTGGTCATCCGAATAAATTAGTTTAAAGGTCCAGGCAAACGTTTGGAATTTATATTTGTTAGCGTGAGGAAGGCAGTTTAGGCAACTCAAATCATGAAACCATTAAATAACCTA